CCCCCCATTTTTGGTCAGTTTCTTTGCTCCAGTTGTTATTTCTGTCTCGGGTATCCACCATATTGAACAGTTGTCACTGGTTAGTTTTGATCATCGCCTCAGGGAAAAGGCCTCTAACATTGAACAAGCTCTAAGTCAGGTCAGATAAAGACAAGCCCTACAATTGGGCTCGCAGGGATGTGCCAGGTAGGTGGAATGATAGTTCTTTGGGAATGGGGACTTTTAGGGAGCTCCAGACTTGGGAGCTTCAGCTCTTTCTAGTGGCTGCCAGGCTGCTTGTTTTCCCTTACCATGATGGTAAGTTGATTTGGACAGTTTTTGCCAATGTTTTTTTTGCTTCTTTGAAGCAGATTTTTGAGGGTCCATACTCTGCCATTTTAAAGGGCTCCTCTCCTGTTTTATGATCACAATATTTTCTCTTATCTCTTTGGAAGCACTAATGACATTTTTTTGAAAACTTTTTCTTTCTCTTCAAAATCTCGTCTGTCCTCCAAGTTTGGATTTCTAAGTATGTGTTTATGTCGATTTCTCTTTTTCATGCTAGAAGCTCTAAGTATATGGATGCAGCTTATTGACTGAGATTGCTGTGTTTAAGTATTTGCTTCCAGGAAATTATTTAAAATGTATATATAAAATTTTCTAGGAAGGAACTAATTTGAACTAAATCTTATAGTAAAATAAATTCCAGTTGGATTGAAGAGTTTAATATGGAAATTTAAATTCAGAAAAAGTAGGGCAAGATGGTAGTTATTTGTCAAACCAGTAAAGAAATTTATTTTAAATAGAAATCCAGAGATTTAAAATAAAACAGTTTGGTGGCTTCAGAGGGTAATCATTAGTTATGTATTCAATGTCTTTGAATATATAAAACTCATCCCTTTAGATTTGTGTGAATCAGTAGTTCCCAAGAGAGACATTTTATATTTTTGTGCTCAGAGCTAGCAAACAAAACCAGTCCTTTCATTCCTAAGGAATGCTTTGTTGGTGTTAGACTGTCTCTTTAGGTGGTAACCTTGATAGGAGCTGTTGTAGCAGCATTAATGAGCAGAGAATGAGGGAGCTAGTGAGACAGGATTGTGAAAGCAGAGGGAATTCTGAATTAAGGTGCACATACCAATAATAGTTATGTTTATAGTGTTCTCATACCTAGTTGTTCAGGCCTGCCAGGTCGTGGGTAATGTGACCACAGTGAGCATGCCGTACCACTGAGAACGAATCCACAGACTCCGTACACAAGTACCATTTAGAATGCTGAATACTCTCCCAGGAATGGGAGAAATACTTGCCCTCTTCCAGTAATTTCAGGAACAACCAGACTAGAGGTATACCTTGGCTCCCACTTACAAACTTGCAGGCATGCTCACATCAGAGGCTGTGGTTGTGACACAATCAAGTGGTGCCTTAGTGAGGGCATGCCCTGGCAACCTGTGTCATGATATTATTTATGAGTTTGTCAAGCCGTTGAAGATCTTTGTTACTTTAAAAAAGGGAAGATAATGGAAACATCATAAGAAACACAATCATGTAAGGCATCTTTCCAGTTCTTTAGTAACTGCTGGAGTTGAAAGTGAGTTATAGTTTTACTCATTTCTGGTCCTGAGATGGCAGTTGGAGTTTTATTCAGTGCCAGTTTTAACTAATGGGTAGCGTCTGCCTGGAATAGTTTTGAGAAGGATTCTGAGGGAACATCTGGGCTTGGTGGAAAGATGGCTTGAAAAGATTGTTGGTGTCACCTATGGAATGGGGAGAGGCAGTGCATCAGGCTGGTTCATCCCCTTCATTTGCTGATGTGTAATTTTGGCCTCTCTGTTACTTAGAGCATGAGCTCCAGAGGGTAAGAACTCACTAGCTCGGTGTTGGGCTCATAGTGGGCACTCTAGTTTAGAGTGAATGAACAAATGAATGAACAAACGCCAGAGCTTGTGTGAATACCCACAGTTTTCCAGAGTGAGGAGTTAGGTTTCAGCTGTCTAACATAGAGATGTAACTCCTGAGCGAGCATCTGCATGGCATACGTAGTGCTTGATACAAATACCAAGAGAGCATAGCTCACATCTCTACCCCTGAGGAGCTTCCATTCGCTTGAGAAGAAAAGACAAACATGTTTGAAATGAGGAGAGCTAGCAGGATAGGATGGTGTGCTAAAAAGCACTAAAATGTCCCTAAAATTGAAGGCATAGATACATTACTTTGGAATCTCAACACTTACTCCAATATACCTGTGCTGTGCTTGAGAAAACCCCTTTTTTCTTTTTCTTTCTTTTTTTTTTTGAGACAGAGTTTTGCTCTTGTTGCCCAGGCTGGAGTGCAGTGGCGCAGTCTCGGCTCACTGCAAGCTCCACCTCCTGGGTTCAAGCGATTCTCCTGCCTAAGCCTCCCTACTAGCTGGGATTACAGGCACCCACCACCACATGCAGCTGATTTTTTGTATTTTTAGTAGAGATGGGGTTTTACTATGTTGGCCAGGCTGGTCTCGAACTCCTGACCTCAGGCAATCCACCTGCTTCAACCTCCCAAAGTGCTGGGATTACAGGCGTGAGCCACCACGCTGGGCTCAAGAAAGCCTCTTTTTAAACTTTTTCTATTAAGTATGATTGCATTCTCCCACCTTTTTCTTTCATTTTTGGTGTCACTAGGATGGAGTATTTAGACTGGTTAAGGAATTTTGCTTTAATTTAAATGCCAAGGTGAAATGATCCATTAATAGAAAATAAATGTAATACAGATTTTTTTTAAGCTGAAAATTATCCAGTCACAGCGTTTGTTTCTAGAGAAATTATTTCTAGCATTTTTGGATTGAGCATGAATCACAGCAGGAAGCACAAGCCTTTGTAATGTACTATTAGTGCATTTTGAAAAGCTCCATCCTAAGTAATTGATAGTTTGCGCTAAGAAAGAAATAGGAGAAACACACACTTCTCATAATATATACATTTTGTGTAGAGTAGTCAGTAATGTCTGAGAGCAGGGGCTCTGGATTACTACTCTCAGGGCTAGAATCTCCACCCCACACGTATGTCACCTTAAGGAGATTAAATGAGCTCTTTCAGATAGACTTCTAGGCCCATTCTTTACCCATAGTAAGTGCTCAGTTATTGTTGGCTATTGTTAATGTTATTGATTTAGTCACTGTGTTTCGTTCTTAGGTGGGTCTGTATCATTGATTTTTGGGGGGCGGTGGGGATCAACTTCACATTAGCATTTTAATGTAATTGGCTATGAGCAGTGATGGTTAATAGTTTGTTTACATTTTTGCTTTCATACAGATTGAATGTAATTTTTACAAAATTTGATGAAGTCCAGAAATCTGGAAACATGATACAATCTGCAAATGGTGAGTAGAAAAAGCATTCTCTGCTTTTGCTTTTTCAGTTTTACATTTGTATCATTTATGTTATATGTGAACAGCTGAATTAGGTAATTTAGTAAGAGTTTCTAACTCTTAAAACTTAACCTCCATTCACCCAGTTTTCCAGGCCAGAAACAGTGGAGTGAATCATCACTGACTTTCATAACCTGTACTGAATTTAACTAATCCTGTTGGCTTTACTTTTAAAATTGCATCCTGAATCCCAGGAACTCTCATCATCACCGCTACTGTCTTCCCAGCGCAAGCTGTCATGGTATTTTACCTGGGCTCTTGTGTTTCCCTCCTAAACAGTATCTTTTCTTCTACTGTTTCCCCATACCTAAAGTCTGTTTTTCATATAGCAACCAGAGTAATCCTTTCAGAATACAAGTCAGGTGATGTGAATCTTCTTCCTAAACCTCCAAAGGCTTCCCATCACACCCAGGCTGCAATTCAGCAACTCACCATGGCTCACTGGGCCTTGAGTGATCTGGCACCCATCACCATTCTGATGTCATTTGAATTGTTCTTTGTGAAAGTTCTCTTTGCTCTAGCCACGTTGACCTCCTTGCTAATTTTGAACATTTTGAGCATCTCCTGCTTCAGGACCTCTGTGCTTATAATTCTTTCTGCCTGAAGTATTTGCCCTGTGGGTATCATTGCGGCCTCCTCCCTCCTCCCTCATGCCATGAAGATCTCACTTCATACAGTATCACTGCATTACTGAAGGCCACCGGAATAGCATGCTCTGTGCCCTCACCCTGTTGGAGTGTTCTTCTTAGCGTGTATCACTAGAAAAGTATGTGTTTACTCATGAGAGCAGGACCTTTACTTTATTCCCTTTATTGTTCTTTATTTGTTTCTCAATGAGCGTGAGTTCAATGCCTTGAAGAGTCCCTGGCTTGTGATAGGTGTGCAGTAAGTATTGTTGAATAAATAAAGTAATGATTTTGATGTGAATCGTAAGCTGTTGTTTCCGGTTCCTGTATTCCTTTCCCTATACTTTGTGATGATATTTGAGAACTAGTGGGTAATTCTTGTGAGTCCAGGAGAGGAAAAGACAGGAATGAATTACTCCTGTATGAAGGAAAGAATATCAAAAAGTTAATTGCTGAGAAAAACTTTTCTAACTCTGGATACCTCATTGTATCATAGCTAGGCCATTTTAGAATTTTTAGGTATATTAGATTACAACCAGTACCGAATTCATTAATGATGTTGGATTTACTTTTAAAACTGTACCCCGAATCCCAGTAATTCTCCTCGTCACTACTCCTGTCTTCCTAGTACAAGCCTTCACATTTTGAATATCTTGAGATTGTAAAGAAAAGTCTGAGTGCTTTTCCTCAAAGTAAGTTGGTACATGGGGCAGAGCGGGTAACCGAATGCGAGGCTTTTGACTTGCGCTCTGCTGTGTACCTTATTATTCCAGAGGAATTTTTCTTTGAACAGCGTGTTTCCTATATAAAATGCTTAAAGTGATCTAAAAATGCTTCCCTTAATCCTCCTTATCTCTTTTTCGTAGATTGTAAAAAATAATAGAAAACAAATACCATAATTCAGCTATTACCATCAAAAATCATTTTTGCTATATTAGTTCATTTTCCTATAACAGTATAATTTGTATATAACTATGGTGTGATTTTCTCTACTTTACCCTGTACTTTAGTGTACATACTTTGATATGTACTTTAAAAAACATATCATTGGTAGAGCCAATGGCATCTGAGTGGTGTACTCGTGATGAGTGGGGTTGCTTGGTGTCCACAGGCAGGTCTTCACAGGCAGTTAGTTGATGGACACATGCTTTTACTTTTGTGTGGGTGTATTTGTGTGGTTTCTCAGTTTAAAAATTGTTGGCACTGGGACAGAGCATGCTGGGCAAGTAAGTAAAAGCAGTGGCAGGAAAGTGAGTTTGTGCTTCATAAGCCAGTATTACGGCTGTGAAACAGAATCTCATTATAGTGCTGGCATTGGGGAGAAAGACTGCATCCACATTGGGGATCTTGCCTAAAAGAGTGTACATACACTCCATGGGATCCAGTGATGTGACAAATATGATTTCACCCTCAGGAATGCCAAAACTGTGTGGCATTGGATGTATCACAAGCAGCATTTTCTATGTGGTTAGGTATAAATATTGCCCCCAAATTCCCTTTTGTGTGTGTGTGTGTGTGTGCGCGCGCTCATGCACACACATAGGTGTAGGGTTGAGAATGGAAACAGTTCTTTTAAACATCGGTGTTAAAAATAGCAAATGGTAAGGAAGCCTTAACAAAATTTCTTGGAGGTCGATAATTTCAGCTTTTTGCTTTATATATATATAGTATTACTGTTTTAATTGTTAGAGCCAAAATGTTTAAGGAAACTAATATATAGCCATATGTGTAAAATTTTAGAATTTCTAACCTAAATGATTTTCATCTCTTTACAGTAACTTTGAGAGACCAATAAATTGTTCAGTTGCTGTCAAAAAACAAACCACCTGATTTCCTTCATTGCACGTTTAGATGGCGTAGAGAAACTGCAGTAGTGATGGAATAAAACCTGTCTCCCTCTTTTATCTAATTCTCTCTCTCTCTCTCCCCCTCCTTTTCTCCTCCTCCTTCTTTTTCTCTTTTCTTTTCCCTTCCTTCCCTCCCTCCCTCTCCTTTTTCAACTCTTTTCTGCTCTTTTCTTACTCTCTCTCTCTTTCTCTTTTTCTCTCTCTGTCTCCCTCTCCCTCTCTCTCTCTCCCCCCCAACCTCCTCTTCCTTCGTGTTTTTTTTTTTTTAACACAACTCCCAGTGTAATTCTTTGATCTCTTTTGAACTTCAAACCTTTGACTGTTCAGCTTTCTCTAGATCCATCCATCCTCTGCTTTCTCCATTTCTTACCTTATATGGCTTATATTTACAACCTTTTTGAACTTATTAGTTGTAGGAGTTTTTGTAGCGTCTGTGGAGTTTCCTACATATACAGTCTTGTGATCTGCAAATAGCAACAGTTTTATCTCTTTCAGATACATGTGCTTTTAATTTCTTTTTCTTGCCTTATTGCACTGGCTAGAACTTCCAGTACTATGTAAAATAAGAGTGGTGAGACGGGACATGCTTGTCTGGTTCCTATCTTAGGTGCTAAGTATGGTATTAGCTGTAGGATTTTTGTAGATGTTCTTTATCAAAATGAGGTAGTTTTCTATTTACTTCTGTTTATCTTATCTTTTTTTTTTTTTTTTTTTTTTTCCAGAGCAGGAATAGAAGTTTATTTAAAAAGGCTCAGAACAGGAAAGAAAGGAAGGTGTGCTTGGGAGAGACCCAGGTGGGCACATGAAAGTTAAAGAAAGAAAGTTAAATGCCCTTATCTGAGTTTTTGTCAGAAATAGGTGTTAGGTTTTTTGTGAAGTTATCAGTATATTTTATAAATTGAGATACTTTCTCCTTCTAGTTGCCGTTCATTTAAAAATTAAAAATTGAGATTATATATAATTTACCTACTGGTGTTTCACTTTTTAAAGTGTGTGCTTTAGTGTTTTGTTTTTTTTTTACTATCCCTCATCTAGATGTTTTTTTTTTTTTTTTTTTTTGAATATTCACAAAATGTGCAACTGTTACCACTATTTAAATCTAAAATACTTCACCCTCACATCCCATTCCCATTAGCACTTACACCTTATTTCCCTCTCTCCCCAGTTTCTGGCATCCTATTTTCTGTCTTTATGTTGCCTATTCAGGACATTTTGTATAATTGGAATCATGTAATATTTGGCTTTTGTGTCTGGTATCTTTCACTTAGCATGGTGTTTTCAAGGTTCATCCATAATGTAGCATGTATCAGAAGTTCGTTCCTTTTTATGGCTGAGAAGATTCCATTGTGTGATTAGACTACATTTTCTTTATCCGTCTGTTGATGGACATTTGGGGTTGTTCAACTTTTTGGCTATTGTGAAGAATGATTCTTTGAACATTGTTGTAAAAGATTTCATGTGGATATGTATTTTCATTTCTCTTGGCTGTATACTTTGCAGTAGAATGGCTGAGTTGTACATTTAACTTTTTGAGTAACTGCTCAAACACAGTAAACACACAGTTTTCCAGTTTTGCGGCACTATTTTATATTCTTACCAGCCACCTGTAAGAGTTTCCAGTTTCTCCACATCCTCGCCAATAGTTGTTATTGTCTGTCTTTTTCATTATTGTCACCATAGTGGGTGTAAAGTGGTATCTCATTGTGGTGTTGATTTGCTTTACCTTGACGAGTAATGGTACTGAACATCTTTTTCATGGGCTTGTTAACCCTTTATATACCTTGGTTGGAGAAATGTCTATTCAAATAAATCTTTTGCCCATTTTCTAAAGGGGTTAATTGCCTATTTATTGTTGAGTTATAAGAGGTCTTTAGATGTGCTACATACCAGACTCTTAACAGATGTGATTTATTTGCAAATATTTTTTCCCATTCTGTGGGTTTTCTTTTCACTTTGTTGATAGTGTCACATGAAATATAAAGTGTTAAATTTTGATGAAGTCCAATTTATCTGTTTCTTTTTTCTTTTGTTATACCTAAGAAACTATTGCCTATTTTTGGCAAGGTGTGGTGGCTCACACCTGTAATCTCAGCACTTTGTGAGGCCGAGACGGGCAGATTATCTGAGGTCAGGATTTGAGACCAGCCTGGCTGATATGGTGAAACTCTGTCTCTACAAAAATACAAAAATTAGCCAAGTGTGGTGGTGCACCCCTGTAGTCCCAGCTATGGGGGTGGCAGGTGGGGCCCTGAGGTGGGAGGACTGCTTGAACTTGGGAGGCAGTGGTTTCAGTGAGCTGAGATCGTGCCACTGCATTCCAGCCTGGTCGCGAGACTCTGTCTCAGAAAAAAAAAAAAGAAGAAGAAGAAACTATTACCTATTTTTACCACAGAAAAGAGGCCAGGCATGGTGGTTCATGCCTGTAATCCTAGCACTTTGGGAGGCCAAGGCGGACAGATTGCCTAAGCTCAGGAGTTCC